ATATATATATATATATCAGGCGCACACCACCATGCCCAGTCTCAATCACCGCTTCAGCACACCCTAGGGGCCTGGCCAGCAAGGCACGCCAGGGACTGAACTCCGGCCGCTGCACTCTGCCTAAGCAGGCACTTTAATCCACTGAACTGTCTACCTGGCACCTCCATGACAATAATCTTCAACCAAATAATCCAATTAACAAACCATCATATTTGTTTTAGTGAAAAACCAAAAACCCACAAGAAGCTTGTTCTACATCTGAGGATGCTCCAAAATTGGCTCCTGAGGACAGGGGTAGCGACACAGTCAGCTGAGAGTTCCTTTACTCAATTCAGGTAGAAATCATGAACTCTGCTAGTGGCCCTGACCTTAAAGCTGTGGATGCTGGTGCTTGTGCCCGAACCAGAGTCGGCGCTGCCAGTTGCTGGTCTCTGGAACTCTTCAGGTGGACCAGTTGCTTAGTTTTTACAGTTATTTCTTTGAAACCCAACACTCTGCCCACACTACTCTGGACAGGAGCCCCAAGTAGATTTACAGGAACCTTCAAGTAGATTTCTGAGCCCACACCACCCCAGAAAAAAGTAACAGGCCAATTTACAAGACCACTGAAAAGAAGGCTTATTGGAATATGACTTGTGCCCCAAAACAGGGTGGTCAGGACACTAGAATGAGCCCTCCAAGATCAACCAAGAAAGTGTGAAACTCATGCTGCTTACGTAGCAGCTGCAGGCCTATGATTGGCCCAGATCTGGACCTGCTGACTGACCCAAACTCCACTGCTTGGTTTAAATTCAAGGGCCAGTATCTCCTGGAGCAGATGCAGGTTGTCTGGGATCATTGGCAAATTCGAGTTGTTTGGTTAACACTGTTGTACTTTGGAAAAACAGCAGGGCTGACTCAGGAAGGCAATAAGAGAGCTTGCTGTGTTTGTCACGGGTTATTGAGGTCTGGGGAGGTTGAGGATGTAAACAGTGGGTCCAGTTCTTTTTCTGATCTCTACCACATCATGGGTGGTTTCCTTCTTACTCCTTCAGAAAGATGGTAGGAATGAAGAAGGGCATTGAAGCTAACAGTCTGCTGCACCTTCTGTCAGAGTGGCCATGAGGCAACCCAAGGGCTGATGGGAAGGCACTAAGGCAAGCTGGCCTACTTCCTCCTCAGGGGCCACAAGGAAGCAAAGGGTAGTGAAGAAGAGGGATATGATGGCCATAGCCACACCATGTACCCCTCAACAGTTCCAGGAAAGTCAATTTACCTCAGTTTCAGTGAGAATTCTTCACTCATATTGGCATCACAAGGCTGAGGCCCAGGACACTGCCTGAGGGTGCCCACAGCTTCCAGAACCAGAAGCCCAAGAGTCCCAGCAGGCTATAACCCCGTGTCCAGGGCAGATGGACCTGTACCTCTTGGGCCACCATAGGGCAGGCTCCTCTATCAACTCTACCTGGTGTCCACATGCACATTGGGTACAATCTCCAAGGTCCCCCTGTGATTGGGTCAACTGAATTTTGTCACTGCTTCCTCAAAACTGTCAAGAGCATTAATGCACCTGAAGGTCAGGTCAAGGGTTGGCTTTAATATACAACGAGGGGCACAATGCTGTGATGTCCTGGTGCATCTCCGCAGGAGACCTAGAAGAGACCTTAGGGCTGGAGTCGCTGGCCATTTCCTTCCTTGGAGCTCCGCTGAGGGTTCAAGTCTGCCATGCTCTAGCTTAGAGCTCTGAACCTCATCTGCAGGGGGAGGCAGAGGCTCAACTGTGCAGACACTCGGGTACAGGCCACACATCTCACACAAGAGCCCACACAGCTCAGCACACGCAGCCTGCACACACATCCATGTCCACACAGATATACAGCTAGACCCTCCCCTTATCCTGCCAGGACCAGAGGGGTTGAGCCCACTTCACAGGGGTTCCCAGTAAGTAGCCCCCTGGGCTCAGAGACAACAGATTTTATTCCTGATGTGAATTCCCAAGAGTCCTGGGAGGCCCCAGAAGTCCACACTTCCATGCCATCCCCTACATTATCCTGAGCATGAGGTGAGGACTTGGGGACAGAGGAACTCTTGAAGTTTCATGCTGAGGGTGTGGGACCCCAGGGATGCTGGAGTATTAGATTAGGACACAAAGAGACCCCACTAAGTCTGTCATTCCTCCAGGGTGGGTGTCCCTTTCCTGCCTTCAAGCAGGTGCAGGGGCGCCTACCTGATGGAACTTCCGGGAACTTTGTAGCCAGCACTGGGTGAGCACAGTGACCGCAACAATGACCAGGAGGAGAAACAGGGGAGCTACCACCACCCCCATTCGAAACCGGGACTCCTGGATTCTAGGCAGCACCTCTAGAGTAGAAAGGTAGGAGGGCCTCTGTCTGCATCATTGACAGTAACCCCTTCACCCTGACAGCATCACGCCCTGTGCTGTGTAGACACACAACTGGGGGTGACCAGGGATGGATGAGCCAGGTGGGAGAGGCTCCAGGCAGTGAAAGCAGAACCACCAAAGACAGAGCAACCCCGAAGTGGGGCTGTACCTGGTGACAGGTGTGAAACACTCCCAGAAGACAAGGCCAGCATTGGACCTGGCTCCATCTCCTGCTCCTGCTGAGGCTCTGCAGGACAGACACCACTGTCAGGTGAGGGCCAGTTCTTACACATGCCCAGCTCCAGGGAGCAGGAGTCCAGATGGGGTTCTTAGAGTCCCCCTTGACCCAGACTGCAGTCCCTGGCCCCGGGCTCAGGCAAAGGTAATAGACTAAAAGGTGGGAGGGGGCAGGAGAGCCTGAGGGTGGATGAGGCCCCAGGAGTCATGCAAGAAAGGAAAGCATCGGGTGGGTGGGGCTTTAGACTGGCAGGGCCCCTGGCTCACTCCTGTGGTGCAGGGAACCCAGGCCCAGGCAGGAGAGACCTCTCCCCTGTGCTCCCTGTAACTCAGCCCCTCTTCCACCCTCCTCCTTGCTCCCTAGTCCTCACCCAAGACGTTCAGCCTGGTTTCCTTTTTGTTTCTCTGCAGCCCCTGAAGATGCCACAAGTACAGCCCTGCGTGGGCATCCTGGGCAGGCTGGATCACCAGCTGGGCCAGGCCCCCTTGCACCTGGAGCTGCCACCCTTCTTGGGAGAAGCTTCCTGGGGTTGCCTCGCTGAAGATGGTCCTGGTCTCCCCATGAGCGCTCAGCTGGATGGTGACGTGCCTGAGGGCGTTGGAGCTGTTGCAGGCCAGCACAGCCCTCTCTCCCCTGGACACAAACACCACGCCCTCCGTGCAGATGGGCCTGTCCCACTCTGTGGAGGAATAGTCACCTGAGGGCAGGCCCTGAAGAAGGCCTGGCTGCTCTCCTGGGGGTCTCCAAGGACACAGCAAGCTCTTTATTTGCCTAATCAAATTGAAGCAGCAGCAGCAGCACATGGCTCCTATGTGGCAGGGGCAGAATCAGTGTGTGGAGGGGGCTGCTGTGACCCAGCTGGGAGCCAATGAAAGTGTCCCATGGCCCAAGCCAGCTGGTCTGCAGGATATTCCTGCTGTCCCCTCCCCTGTGTATTCCATGGGGTGAGGGGGGAGTGTACACATCCTGGGGGACCTGACCCCAAATCCTTGTTGTCCTGGGTTGGCTACCAGTGACCAGAACTGCATTGTCATTAAAGCTGCTGTGGGATGTCCCTGAGTGGCTTAAGGGATCCCCAGAACTGGAGATCTGTGTTGAGGAAATCTCTGGGAGCCTGTTGGGACCCAGGCTGTGTAGGGGCCCCCAGAGCCTCTGGTCTCTGAAGGCCCAGTAGCTGCAGAGGCTGATGGTTAGGGCCGAGTCTGCCACTGGGACAGTGGCCCTCAGTCCTGTGGAGCCGCGCCTCCTTGGTCCGGTCTTAGGCCCTGGCCCCCATCTCCTGCATTCCCTTTCCCTGGGAACCAGATCTGAATTTAGCTATCCCCCTCCCGGGGCTCTGACAGTGAGTGCCATGGGATGCCAGGGACACCTGCCATCTGCCATCCTTGGGGCACCTGGCCTGCCCTTCCCTCCCAGGGCACCAGCTCTGCTTCTCTCCCATGGTGCCTGCGTGTGCAGGGTCCAGGCCCTCTCCTGAGCCCTGAGTCAGGCTAGGCTTCACCTTGGTCTCCCATCCCTGCTTTCTTGTCCCCTAGGCCCTCCCCTGGCAGGGTGGGGAGACCCTGAGACCTACTTCCATTCTGAGTACTCAGGGAGGTGGCCACGAGTAGGAGGGTCCCAAGCATTCTGAGGACCATGCTGGGAGGCACCCAGGGACAGGTGTGCATGGCTGCTGGTTGGCAGTAGGCCTTCAGGTCCCTGGTCCTTGTCCTGTAGACCCTGGAGAAAGACAGCACAGGGATCAGAGGCTGTGGACTGAAGCAGAGGCTGAGGGGGAGCAGCTTTGCCTGGTCAGGGCTGACAGCCCAGGTCCTCAAATCAGTCCCACCAGTTGTGCTTCCAATGTCCATGTCTCTGCTGGACACTCAGCCCTCAGTGTCTGAGCTTTGCTCCTGTCCTTTTGCTCCATGCAATGTGAGGTGCTGATGTAAGAATCCACGGAGAGGTGTCAGAGCCTCTACCTTGTAGGTCTTGGCACCCAGCTGTCCTCAATCACTATTTCAGAGAGTTCTGTGTCAAATTAGCAAAACTGTTCTTGCATGGCCTTCCCAAGGGTGTGGCCCAGAACACCTGCACCCTCCAGCGCTGGTGCTGCTTCGAGACCTCAGTCCATGGCCATCACTCGGCATGGAGCTGCAGTTTTCCCTCTTCTATTTTTTGCATCCCATAACACACCCAGATCACAGAGCCCCTTAATGTTATGCTTGCTACAGGTGGCCCTCTTGTTCATCTTGTTCCATCGCTCACAAATATCCTCACATCATCAGCACCTGGAAGACATTCAGAAATCTCAGGTCTCCCCCTAACTGGCACTGCTAGAGCCCTGCCTCGCACCTGCTGCCTCCCAAGGCCCTGGCCTCACTTACACTGTGATGATTAAGCCGTTACTGTAGGCTTGCTTAGCTTGGGTGCTGCCTGGGAGATTTGTGTAGCATACTGTGTGTTGTCTGGATGGGTCCCTGGAGGTGTGATGCTGGGTGCTGTAGGGACCTCCACCCCTTCCTCTTCCTGTGCATTTCCCTGCTCTGCTTCTGGGCTTTCAGCAGTTGAGCAGCTTTTTTCACCACATATATGGTGTGGCTGCCTTAGAATCTGTGGAGACCATGGACTGACTCCTCTGCAACCATGAGCCAAAATCAACCCTTCCCTTAGTAGGTTGCTGTTTGTCAGGTTTGGTTCTAGTGACAAATAGTTGGCATATGCACTTGATATAGATAGATAGATAGATAGATAGATAGATAGGCATTCTGTATTTCTAAGGCACAAAGATTTATTTTCGTGGTTTATCCACATGACAGGTTGACAGGTGCTGGCTGTCTCTGGTGGGCGGACCCATCTCCTTTTGCAGTCTTGTCTGTACCTTACCCATTAGGCCCGCCAGTCTAAATGGCTCTATCTGAATGGGAGGAGCCAGCTCCAGGGCCCTGCTCATGCCTCCAAAGCCTCACTCCAAGGCCCCTGTATCCAAGGGAGCACCCTTCCCATCTCATCCTCCTGACTTGCTCACCACCTCTCCTCTGGTACATTCAGGGTCCTCTCTTACATGTCCCCTCCAGCTCTCTGATCAGCACCAGGGACAGGCAGGAGCCCAGGGAAAGCTGGAGACTTGTCCTCCTGCGCCACAAGGAAGCAGAGACAGAGCAGCCAGGAGACCAGCCTCCCACAGTGCTGCTTCCTCACTTGCCAGTGAATCCTCAGGGTCCTGTTTCCTGAATGCCTTCCAGTCCCACCACCTACCACACTCACACGCACACACACACAAGCGCACAGTTATAGGTGCACACAGTGGGGCTGAGGACGGGCATCCTGGGGTGAGCTTCTCAGAGCCCCGAGAAGGACACTTGGAGAAACACTGCATGCAGTAGCACCCAAATCCCATGGATCTGCGCACATGGAGCCCTCCAGCCCGACCAGTCCCTGACAAGGAGCACAACTTTACACGAGGCAACAAGGTCCCCCATGAAGTCTTGGTCAGTGCCTGAGGTGGGGCCTGGCCCAATGCCTAAGCTCAAGCTCAGCTGGGCAAAGTCTTGCCTCACCTGTCCATGATGTGAAGAGACAAGAAGAGGTATGTTTACAAGACATGCTCCACAGCCTGCAGAATGAAGGCATCCGCTGCTCTGGGGGACTCCCTCCCATGGCTCCCCACAACCCCGTGTGGTTCTGCACACCATATACGCTTGGCCCCTAACTCACATCAACCCCCTCTCTGAGTCTTAGTTTCCTGCTTAAGGAAATGGACTTGGTAGTCACCAGAGTTGTGTTTCTCCAAGGCACAATGGGCACAAAACAATCACAGCAGAAGTGTCAGGGACCCCTGAGGGCACCCTGAGTCCCCTGTTGAAAGCTGGCCTGACACCCACTACATACTTCTCAGGAGCCCAGAGTCTGAGCTAGTCAAGGCACTACCCAGAGCACCAGGCTTTTCCTGTTGCCAAAGCCAGAGGCGTCCTTGCACCCTAGGCTTGGACACTGATGCTGTATCTCTCAACCTGCTTGTGAGCATCCTTCATGGAAGCCCTGGAGAGCTCCAAATCTAGACAAGGGGGCCTTGAGCTCACACCCTCCTTTGCCTCTCATCTGGCCTCCACCTTGGGCTGGTTTAAGGTAACAACCAAGAATCACAGTGTGGCCACAGTCCTCCAGTGGCTTCCATGACTGACTTGAGGGACTGTTGGCCTGGGTCTTCTCACTGGGAACCCAGCCAGTGCCAGGCAGGCAACCTGGCCTTGAGGTTGCTGAGTGGAGCTGCACTGTGGGCACAGCTCTCCCTGTACTGCTCAGGTCTGAAACTGAAAGTCCCTCCTTCCCTTGTCCTTGGGGTACCTGCTATGCCCCTCCTTTACTGTCCACCTTCCAGGACTAGGCCAGGCCATCAGGACAGGCAGAGCCGTGACTGTCCTCTGTGCTAGCTTCTGCAGGAGCCCCACCTTCACTAGGAGAAAGGCTACACCTGAGTCTGTTGTTTTTCTTTCCTGGGACTTTATACTCTTGGACCATGAGTCAAAGGTGGATATTCCGTCGCTACTCAGCCAAAGGCCACGGGGTCATCTCGGTACATTGTCTACCTGCTCATCCCCAAAAGCCTGTCCTTAGCTTAAGTCTAGGGACAGGCCCAGCCCTTGCTGCCTCTAGACTTTAGTCCTTGCTTAGCACAGAGAGTTGCCTCTTGGCTGGTTCTCCAGTAGCTTCCACATCTCTGTGGCTGAAGTCTGGAGCCCCAAGGACCTAACACACACCCCAGTGTCCTCCTATGTGGGCTGCCCAGGATTTGCCTGGATGGAGGGGCAGCATGTGCTAGCTCTGTTCTTCCTGTGAGCTTTTGCTGGGATGGTGGCCCTGGGGGAAGGTAGGAGGAAAGAGAAGCTGATCCTGTCTCCTCTCTCTGGGCTCTGTGTCCTCCACATCTTAGCTACTGGCTGTCTGGACTCGTGGGCTAAGACCCTCTCAGATCCTCCAGCCGGTGTGGTGCCGCATCCTGCCTGTCATGGCAGGGTCACCTCACTGACCACTAGCCTGCATTCCTCCAAGAACCTTTCGCACTGGCCCTCAAAGTCCCCTCCAGTGTATGTGTCCACAGCTTTGGCAGGGACAGCAGCACAGGCCCTGGGCTAGGTGGTGGCTGGAGTAGGTCGCATCCTCTCCCCATAGCTCCCCATGTATGGTACCTAACACCTGCATACGCAGAGCAAGGCCTGGAATACATCATCCAACAGTCACCCCGTACAAAGGGCCAACTGCCCTGCAAATGAGCTGAGCCATTTGCCAAGGGGTCCTACAGGAGGCACCAGGGCCATGTCGATGGGGCTGGAACGCTATTGTTCTGGGCCTGACAGGACTTCAAGGGGCTCAGAAAGGGTGAAGTGATAACTGGGGTGGGGGAGTGGCAGGTATGTCCATCTCTGTGCCCCTACCCTCCACATCACCTCCCACATTGAAGCTTCAGACCCGGAGGCCCAGGTCCTTTGCATAGTGGCTACACTGGTACATGGATTTTTAAAAATTTATTTATTATTTATTTTTTATTTATTTGGTACAGGGTCTCACTACACAGCTCAGACTCATAGTGATCCTCCTACCTCATGGTGGGTCCAGATAGAATTCATGTTCTTGGGCTTTCCAGGCAGGCGCTTAGACTACTGAAATATCTCCACTGAACTATCTCCCCAGCTCCCTACTTTTTTAATGTATTTGGTACAGGATGTCACTACACGGCTTGGATTCGTAGTGATCCTCCTGTTTTCAGCCTCTCCAGTGCTGGGATTATAGACATGCACCACCTCAACCGGTCCCATCTTGGTGGCCAGCTCAACACATCCAAGGGCAGGACCAGCATGGCATGTGGTGCCTGGGATCGAACTCTGGTCCCTGTGCATGCCTAAGTAGGTGCTTATTCTGCTAAGCTATCTTGCTGGCCCTCCCCAGCCCTTTTTTTTCTAATTTTTTAAAAAAGAATTTTAAAAAAATTTTAATTAAAAATTTTTTGCTGTACCAGGGATCGAACCCAGGACCTTGTACTTGCCAGGCAGGCGCTTATGAGGCTGAGCTATCTCGCTGGCCTGCTACATGAAATTTGCTCCTGCTTCCCAGGATAAAATGTGCCCTGGTTACACCAGATCTTTTCACATGGCCACACACTACCCATCTGGTACACCCAGATACAGTAAAATTTCAGACGAACCACCAAACTAGGCATGGTGATACACCTGTCATCCAGCACCCTGGAAGGCTGAGGCAGGCAGATTGTAAATTCAGGTCCAGCCTGAGCAGCTTAGCCACTTAGCAAGACTGTCACAATTGCAACAGCTCAATTTGAAGGTCCTGGGTTCAGTTCCCAATTAAAAAAAAAAAAAAGAAAGAAAAAAACACTTGTAGTACTTTGCAACATTTTGGACACACATATTTAAAACAGATTTACTATTGAAATTCAAAAATAAGAGCATCCTGCATTCTTTTTGTCTCACTGTTGTTCTGTTGACTACAGGACAAAGCCCAAGGGAGTAAGGTGCACCAGCTAAAAAAAAACAGGAAAAGAGGCTTAGAAAAGCAATGGGTGGCCACAGAGCTCAATGTGGGGCAGGGAGACCGGGCACAGGGACTCCTGGCACTGCCAGGGCTAGAGAAAGACAACAAGTAGATTCTCCAAACATCACCCCTACAAGCTGGCATGTGCACACATTAAAGTGGGAGCTCAACAGTGGAATCTGCAGAGTCCCTGA